ACGCTTTCCTCCAATAACACGTTTCGCCGTTTCTGTCTAGCCTGCTGCCAGTGGCCGCTGTCAAGTCATTCCAGAGACGGCAATTAGCTATTAGGCTCTAACGTCATATCAGCCGGGCTCTTCTATCAGTGGCGGGTGGGCGGGCAGTGTCTGCAAGCTCAGCTAATTTAATTTTATTGATGGCTAACAGAAAATATCATTATGGGGCCTCGGCAGAGAAATTGACCTGGGGTGGGGGGCACCGGTAATTCGGGTGGTGAATGTGTGTTTGCTGGCTTGGCCCCGCTGCTCAGCACTGGCCTAGCTGCACGCTCCATCACGAAAACTCCGCGGGGCCCGAAGAATTCGGCTGCGGGGCTGGCGGGGCTCTTGGCCGGGTTAAACAAACTTTTATTTTCCTTAAAACAGTCGACCGCAGCGGCCCTGACGTCACCTGACTGCTGTGACGTCTGTGTTCACCCCCCCAGGATGGGAGGTTTGTCCCAGCAAGTGGTGGGATAAGTAAATAAATCAATGAAGTGTTTTTTTGTTTTTCTGTAACCGTGGTGCTAATTTGGATGTTTTTTTATGCTTATCCATCCCTCCATTCATCCATCCATCCATCCATCCATCCATGCATATTCTAACCTCGTATCCAGGCGTGGATAGTATTTCTGATACGTGAAATTATTTAAATATGTGTATTTCAAACACAAAATTGTATTTCGTAATTTGTATTTGCCTTGCTTATGTTTATGCAGTTTGTATCAAAATGCTTTGATGTTCAGTATTTTAGTATTTTGAAAATACAAGAAATACTTTTGCCATAATGTATGCCTAATGGGATCATTTGTGCAGAATGTTTGTGCAAAGACAAGGAGGAAGTTTACTTTTTCAGACATTTTAATGAATGATCATTAGAGCCAATAGTTGATCACTTATGTTGAACCAAAAGGCTTATAGGCTCCATTCAGGCCTAATCGTGTTTAAAGTTAAGATGTAGCTGAGTGAAGCCTGACATTGTGTTTGTGTAAATGTCCTGTGGTGCAAGTAAGGGAGCAGTTTTGTTAATTAAATCACAAAAAAACATTTTTCTGAGTCTGTTAATATCACCTTTTAATTCGATTGACCTACCATAATCTCAGTTATCAAGTGAGTAGTTGGGTTATTTTAATACGCTTCAGAATATTTAATCTTTTGTTCAGTTTCACAGTTGTATTCTCATTAAGCAGTGAAAAAATGTTGCTGTTATGCTTGGCTGGCTGATATGGAATAGAAGTCTGTAATGTATCTTTGTATTTTTAACATTCAAAAGACAATAGTTTATTTTGATACTTTGCTTGGTGGCTGTATTATAGTTTTATTTTGATGCACCTACAAATAAGGTATTTTGTGAAGCATAGGACAAGAGTTGGGATGCAGGCTGGATGGGATTTCTGTGCTTGCTAAATGTATATGATATATATGCAGTCACAACTTTATACATGGGATGTATATAAGACAGAAAAACAACTTGTCCATCCTGCCCATTGGCTTTATAAAGACCCCCCCCCCCATTTAAGATTCAACTCAGATTGCTTGGTTTCAGAAATAACGACGGATGATTGCGCTTATAGCGTCCTCTGGCAGAGCAGAGATGCTGGTCCTAAGATCATCGGCGCTTTGACTTCACGTGCAAGAGCACGGAGCATCGCGGTTGAGTTTGACGGCTCCCATAATGCTGCTTTTCTCCCGTCCTCACTGCAGGATGACCAAGTGTGACGTGAAGAACTACCTGGAGAAGATCTACAGTGCGCCGGTGGCTGCTGTACGGACCAGGATACAGTACTGTGAGTTGTTCTGCGTGTCCTCCTGGGGTCTGCCTCCCGTGTGTTAAATTCCATGTTTACACCCCCACCTGCTTGTGTGAAAGTTGTGCCTGGGGGCTCATGGCGGTGTTTGTGTTGGGTAGGTCATACAGAGCCGGGGGGGCGGCGCGGGGATCGACCACCGACTGAGGCGGTTTCTGATCCTCTCTCAGCCATCCGAGGGGAATGTCACAGTACAGCCCCAGCCCAGACCCCCTTGCGACGATAACGGTCGGGGAAGCCCCCCTTTGTATGTGCCCCTCCCCTCGCAGCACCGCCCCCCCCCCCCCCGGATTCGTGGCACTGGCGCTCTCGCCCGCCTGTCCTGATGTGCCCCCTTCGCTCCGAGCGGCCTGGGCTTGGGTTTTACGGTGTGGTTTTTATAGCCTGGCCGTTTTGCTTCAGAATGATAACAAGCTGAAGCTCTGCGTGGTTAGCTAGGCAGTACCTGCGCCTTTTACGAGGGAGGAAACGTCTGAGCGAAACTTAGCTTCGCTTTCCTTGTTTTTTTTTTTTATAGAATGGAGAGAATAAACAAAGGGGTGGGGCCTTTTTTTGCGTACAATTAATGGCTGTAGTTGGGTCTGAGCCATCGGGAAGCGTGTGTTCACACTAATAAAGAATGTCCATGTTGTCAAATTCATGCCTGCAGTTATACTTAAGCAAACCAATTAACATAAGGGCTTGTGTTTATTGGAGCTCTTTTAAAAAGGTGGGGGGGCGGGGGGGGGTGATCCCCTGGTGCGTCAGGGGCTGGTAGAACCCCCTACCTCCACCACACCGTGGGGGCCACTCTGGCAGTGGTGCTTAGAGTGGAGGTGAAGGAGAAGCTGGGCAGAGTCACTGCTCAACAGGATCCTGGTCCTCCCCCCCACAGTGAGAGGGAGGCCAGGGGTGTTTTGGAGGAAGTTTCCATAACTACCCTTCGTGGACACAAAACCTGTAACTTGATCTAACGGGCTTCCTAGGCAGTCGGGGGGGGGGGGCTCAAGGGGTACTACCCCGTCCTCATTTGGGCCAAAGGGGCTCTTCCACGGGGCCTTCCCAGATTTCCATGCTCTGCTGGTATGGAAACCTGGCCTGAACCTTAGAGGGCCAGCTGGAGGGGGTGCACTGGGAGCTCAGGGAATGGATGGCAGTCACCCAGTTGGGGGTCCTGGGTTTTCCCTCTTTTTGATCCTGTTCTAGGGGTGGGTGGGGGGGGGGGACTGGGCAGGTTATGCCCCCACTAAGGGGGCCTCAGTGCTCTATTGCAGGTCATTCCATGAGCTGTGTGTGTGTGTGTGTGTGTGTGTGTGTGTGTGTGTGTGTCTCTGTCTGTGCGTGTGTGCGTGTGTCTGTGTGTGTGTGTGTGTGTGTCTCTGTCTGTGTGTATGTGTGTGTGTGTGTGTCTCTGTCTGTGTGTGTGTGTGTGCGTGTGTTATGTCTGTATTACATTTTGAGGATCAAATATCCCCACAATTTGACAAAAACTTATTTCGACGTTGTGGGGACCATTTGTTTTTGTTCTCACAAGAGTCAGTTTTATAAAAATCTGTCAAAAAAGTAAAAATGCCAAAAGTCTTATATTTTGTTTGGTTACTTATATGGTTAATGTTAGGGCTGGGTGGGGGTTAAGGGTGTCATTGTTGGAATTAGGGTTTTCCCATACAAATGAATGTAGAGTCCCTGCAAAGATATCCATACAAACGTATGTATGTATGTGGGGGGCGGGGGGGGGTTATGTGAGAGAGAGACCCAGGTGACTTGTTAAACAGGAATGTCTCTCTCATGTTTTACTGCTAGAACTTGAAAGGTCAAGGGTCACGCGCTGTCCCTGGCGTCTGTGTGCCAGCGGGATTAATGTGGGTTGGGGGAGGGACCCCTGAAACTGAGGCTGCTGACATCATCGGCAGCTGCTTAAAGGTTAAAGATTAACGGGCATTCCTGGGTTGAGGCCACTGGACCGGAGTAAGCCCAGTCGGCACGGACTCCTTCCCCGACCCACTCATAGTGGGGCACGTGCTTGTGGGAGAGGACATCCTGCCCTAGGAAGGTCTAAAAAGTAGGGGGGGGGGTTCCGTGCAGAGTACAGCAACGATGGGCCTGACTCCCAATTTTCCGTACCTGTCCCTTCTGCTGGGTGGCTGATCATGGCATGTGTGTGTACATGCGTGTGTGTGTACATGCGTGTGTGTGTGCATGCGTGTGTGTGTGCATGCGTGTGTGTGTACATGTGTGTGTGTGTACATGTGTGTGTGTGTGTGTACATGTGTGTGTGTGTGTACACACGTGTGTGTGTGTGTACATGCGTGTGTGTGTGTGTGTGTGTGTGTGTGTACATGTCTGTGTGCGTGTGTGTACATGTGTGCGTGTGTGTACATGTGTGTGCGAGTGAAGCATCTTACTCCATTTGATTCCCGGTGCCTCCAGACTGAACATTCTGCATATCATCCCTCCGATTTCTCACAGGCACCAACAAGAAGAGGAATCACTTAAATCAACGGGTGAAGAGGCCAGATTACAAAGCAGCGTACGTCCAGTTGGTGAGTGCCTTCCCGGAGTGCTGGGGGGGCATGCAGCCGGCCCCCCTCCCGTCACTGTCCCCTTTCCCTGCCCTGCTGTCAGATATGCCACAAAAGGGTTTCCCACAATGACTCGCCGCTGACAAAGGGAGGGAGCGCATAGGCCCTTACGTACCTCTAACAGTGTCTCAGTTTCGCCGCCTTTATCGCGTCTGTGTGCCTAAATGATGCCGGCCGGCCTCCTGAATGCCGGCGCCTTTGTGCGCCGCTCTCTGTGGGCTGGGTGGTGGTTCGCTCTGGGCCTCCCCCGGAGCTCCCCAAGCTGCAGGCGTCCTCGATGGCCATTATCGTTCACTCCCTGGGCCCCAGCGCCGTTTGTTTGGCCGCCATCTCCCACACTCACCCTCGCTGCCGTTCTTAGAAAGCGGGTGGGGGGGGGGGCAGTAGGTTGTATTTAATTACATGCCAGACTTAATCCAGGAAGTAGGTTCAGAGAGGGGCACAGTTATTATCCAGGCCGAGAGAGGGAGTCCTGTGCTGAATTGTAGGGGGGGGGGGGGGGGGTTATATGAATATTTGAGGTCAGGGTGTTCTGTGGTCACCCATGTTGTTGGGCTCACTGGGGCCCCCATCGGTGGGGTCAGACCCCTGCTCGTTTTCCATGCCATACCCCGTCCGCCCCCCACTTGGCGTGGAAAATTGGGAGAATGTTCATATTCATCTTTCCCTGGAATCATGAGTCCTTTAATATTCAGTCGGGGGGGCCGGGGGGGGGGCCTCAGAGATCCTGCGATTGAATAAACAGCCGGTTTCTGAGATGTATGTACAGCATGTAACAGGCTGAATAACTCGCAGGGTTTGAACATTAAACCCGCTGCACACGTCAATTTTTTCCAGAGGCCTCGTTTCGATCGGGGGGACTTTGCCAGTCATCCTGTGTCCCGGGCCGTGCAAGGCTGCTCAGTGTGTGTGCTGAGTCTCCTCTGGGTCTCTGCTCGCACATGCAGCCTCGGTGGGGGTGGGGGTGGGGGTGGGGGGCTGCCCTGAGTGACGATCAAATCACTGCCTGAAGGTGTCAATATGAAATCGAATTTGTGGAATGTGGGACTCTGTCTGACAGGTCTGGAAAAGAGGGATAGAGGGAAAGAGAGAGAGCGAGAGAGGGGGGGGAAGGGAAAGAGAGCGAGCGAGAGAGGAGGGGGAAGGGAAAGAGAAAACAACATAGAAAAGCCCGTCGTTATTTTCAGTGGGGGGTTAAAATCAAGATTGTTCTTAATTGACACCACATGTCGGGGAGTGTTACGTGATCTGATACCCACAGCGGTTCCCCTGAGTGCCCCCCCCTTCCCTGGCCCCTTCCAGAAGCTAATACCCCTACGGTAATATGGAGGCTTTGCTTGGCCCCCCACCTAAATTACATACTCCAGGCTTGTGATGGGCTGTGTTAGCTGTATGCTTTAGCGAGCGCTCCCCACTTTGACACAGGATCCCGCCGTGAGGAAGTA